TGCCGGCGTTCGCCCTGCCCTTCCCCCTGGGCACCCACCTGCAAGGCTCCTCGGGCGCTTATGGCGGTGCCACGGGCAGCCTGCCGCAGGTGCCAGGACTCCTCGCCGCGCCCATCACCGCCTATGGCGTGTATTACCTCTCCTAGGGGACTTGGACATATGCCTTGCCAGGTGGAGGCCTGGGGGTTCGCCAGTGAGGGCGCGCGCAGCGCAGGGACACGATGGGCCCCGCGGGCGAGCTGCGCCTAGTGGCGCGCGGGTCCTGGCTCGGAAACTCCCTGCGTCCCATCGGGCTTTTTTTGGTTTTGTTTTTCAGTTTTGTTTTTTTTGTTGTTGTTGTGGTTGATACAATGTTATAATCGACCCGTCAAGCCTATTTGCGGGTATCCTACAGATATTTAAAAAACTTTAAAAATCATGTTCTTACTAGACAAACTTTCCTGAAAGACAGTGAACATAGTTTCAAGCAGTGTCCTGGAAATGGGCCGGTGTAGAGCTTCCTATTTTGTACAAGGCAGCCAATAAAGTATCTGAAGTTTCCTGCTCTGTGGGACCTCCCCCTGATGCCCTTGCTTCGGTGACCTCACCCATCCGAAGGATTCGCCAGACTGTGCTGGGGAAGCAAGAAACTGATTCCCGAACACAGAAAGGAAACAGGTTGGTGCCAGGACTGCTGAAATGCAGACGCTGATTACTAACGAGGTGTGTTTCCTTCGTGGCAGAATGGAAACTTTCACCCTGATTTTAGGGAATTTTTCCCCCGAATCTATTTTTTTACTAGAGAACGTCCGGGAGGCTGAGGCGAGATGCTGTCTGTGGGGCGTGTGTCTGTAAGCGTGGGGATGTGAGGTGTGTGTAGGGGGTGTCCACGCAGAGAGGCCGGATAGCCACGGAGTCGCCGATGGGCATGGAGAGCGTGGTGGGCTGTGTGCACCGCAGGCCTGCTGCTGGGCTGGCGCCGGGACCCAGGCCGGTGCGGGGCTGAGGAGGAGGCTTTGCTGGCGCTCCCGCAGGAGGCCCGCGGTGCTAGGGCGCAGGGTCCATCCAAACATTGGCTGACGGGGCCAGAATGGCCAGGGATATACTGGTCATCCTGCTCGGCTTCTTTGCAACACGCTCTTAAGGTCCGGAGTGAGGAAGGCCACGGTCTGACCCTTTCCGAGGCTTCTCCCGGCTGCCTTCTCTCTCCCACTGGACTCCAGACTGGGGCAGTCAAGGTGCCTGGGGCAGATGAAAGCCCACATGGCCATTCAGCTTGATCCCCGCTGTGGGCAGCCCCCTCCCCACCTTCACCCTGCCTCTGAGCTGCAGCCAGAACACGGAGGTGACCGTGAGGAGGGGACGCAGAGCCCCTTTCTCCTTACAGGCCGCAGGCTGCGCTGGCTGGGTCTGCCATCCTGGACTAGTTTTACTCGAGGCCTGCTGAGGTGCTGCCCCACAGGAAACAGCCACAGAGAAGTCCCAGAAATAGTAACGATATTGCATTAAATTGCCTATTACTAACCACCTTTCTTCCTGTGTTTTCTGGAAAATGAAAATTCTCAATGGGTTTTAAATGGAAACGAACCCAATTCTCCAAGTATGAGCTGCTGGTAATGAGAGAGGCATCCTCACACCCATGCTGCCCATCCTTCCCAGGCATGTGCCCATGGGGCTTGAGCTGTGCTGTTTAAACTCAGAGCCCAACTCCAGTCTGGGTCTTCAAGGGGACAGACCTGCCCTGTAAATACACCAAAGAAGGTGGTGGGGCCAAGGTGCAAAGAGAGCTCGAGAACGGCGGAGGGGGCCTGAGAGCCATGACCTGCAACCCGACCTGACCTGGGTACCATGCACCTCACAGAGCACAGGTGTTGCTTTTTAAGGCCACTCAGTACCTTGATCCTTTTTTCACATCTGAGGTTCTTGAGAGACTCCCACCAGAAAGTCAGGACCAAGTTCTGGGCCAGGACAACAATACTCACTTTGCAAATAGTTTGGGAATTGTCATGAACTATGAGATAATCCCAAGCAAAGGTGACAATGACACCAGCATAGGAGGAAAAGGAGCGCCTGGTGTCCCCTGTGTGGCACCCCTGCTCTCCACTGGGGCAGTGGAGCAGAGGTCTGCACACATAGCCCTGCCACCTCGCAGGCCCCTAGTGTCCCCTCGGTGCTGGCTGATCCCTACAGCATAGGGCAGCCAGGGCTGGTGGAGGAATTTGCTGAATCGACCACTTCTGACCAACACACCTACCTGGGGAGGCTCCCACCTAGATACCTTCACTGAGCCAGTCTACCATCCAAGGGTGAGTGAGACCTGTGGGGCCCAGACACGTGAGAGACCCCAGCTGAGTGCCCTTGTTGCTGGGCAAGGCTGAAGCAAACTTGTCAAGACCAGGACTCTCTTGCTGTTCCAAAGGGCTGTCCTCCTCCTGAGCCAGACCTCGGTACTGTGAGGCCTGTCAGACACCTCCTTTAGCCAGTGTGGAAGGTTTCCAAGGCTCTAAGGAGTCCTGGAGCCATTCACCTGTCACGACCCTGCAGAGCAGCCCAGGACCTCTGTTGCCCCTCATCAGAGGGCAGACAACCTGAACTCAAGTCCTGGCCCCCCTTCCTTGTCCATGTCCTGCCATCTGCTGCTGGTGGATTTGGAGAGACCAGCCCTGTCCTTGGGGAACCAACTGGATGAGGGGGACAGGAGAGAAGTTCAGGGCAGACCACACCTTTGGAGGTACAGGGGCCACCTGATCTGGGGACCAGGAGTGGGCTGAGTTGTACAATGGTGTGCAGCATGGGTGACCCTGGGAAGAGCCAAAATGGGGAGGGCAGGACCGTGGGGGACCCCAGACAGTGTGTTTCATCAGTCTCATTAAATGAGGCATAACAAATAGGCCTCACTGGTCTAGGGGACCAGAATCTCACTTGAGCCCTGGGAGGCCACCCTGAGGCTCCTACACCAGTGTCACCTTAGTGAAGGAGGCAGGGCTCATTTACTCTGGTTCCTGGAGGAGGATCATGTTGGGATTATGGGTCCCTTCCTGGCAATTGGCTCTCAGAGCCCCTGCTGGCCACATGCACCAGCCATAAGTGCCCCTGCACCAGCCTTGCCTACTGTATGTCTGGGGTGCTGCTCTTAGCCCACCCCAGGCATGGATCCCAGGCCATAGGTCCTGTGCTCAAGGACCACTCAGAGGGCGGGGGCCGGGTCAGTCCTGTTTCAGTATTCCTGGAGGGTCAGACTTCCAAAATCTGACTGTAGATCTTGAATGATCATAAAGCAGCAGCTGTCTCAAGGGTAGAGAATACCCTGTGCAACTCCTCAAAATGCAACACCAGGGGCTTCTTAAGCTCGGTGGTGGGACTGTGGGACTTTCTCTACCAGGACATCTGAATGTGCAAATGTTTTTGTACGTGTGAAATATTTCACAATGAAAAAACTCTATAGGGCAGCACTTCATCCTGATAGACTGAGAGTGGATAAACCCCATTCCCACATCCCTGGTTCTCTCCTGGCCCTCATGTCGTCATCCTCCCCCCCAAGTCCCAAATCTGTGCCTGCCTTTCAGGAAGTGTTTCTGGGTAGCTGGGCCACACTGTGCTTTCCTGGTGTGATGATACATAACACTATCCAGATGCCTAAAGTTCTAGTGCTTTCATTTTTAGTGTTGTCTCATTTACCTAAATATACAGTTTTTGTTATTTCTGATATTCTGCATTGTATGCTGTATTTCCATCAATTAGACCATTAAGAAAAATAACCATGTGACAAATTAAGTTGACATGGCCAGTGGTCGTAAGATGCTAAATTTCAGAGGCGATAAAATATGGAAGGAAACTGCATCAGCGCGTATGAAGCGTGTTTTTCTTTAGTTGATTTTACAGAGAAAGAGGAAGGGGGAGAGAGAGAAACATCAATTTGTTGTTCCACTTATTTATGCATTTACTGGTTGCTTACTGTACATGCTGACTGGAGATCGAATCTGCAACCTTGGCATATCGGGACGATGCTCTTACCAACTGAGCTACCCAGGCAGTGCTTGAAGCGTGTGTTTTTAAAAACCACACCAAACAGTACACTATTCCTTTGAACATCTCACCCTAGCCAGGTGGCTCAGTGGTTGAGTGTTATCCCCTATACCAAAAAGGTTCTGGGTTCAATTCCCGGTCAGGGCTCATACCTAGGTTGCAAGTTCAATCCCCGGTCAGAGCCCATGCGGGAGGCAATGGCTCTGGAAAAAAAAATCAATAAAAACATATCCTTGAATGAGAATTAAAAAAAAGAAAAAAATATATGCATCTCCTCAGAATTATGCTGGCGGTCTTTTTTATTCTTCACACTGAAGTTTTACATTCTGTTTTTCAGAAGAAAAACTGAGACAAAAACAAACAGCTTTCTAGGTAGGGTGAAGCTAGGATTGGAACCCAGAACTGACAGTCCCCAAGGACTGTGAAACAGTCCTACATGGCAGCTGAAGTGTGGACAAGAGAATTTTAGCAAAATGTGCTGTCATAAGACAGGCCAGCGTGCTCATGCGGAGAGCTCGCGTTGCCCAGGACACACAGGAGTTAGAGGAGGAAGGGGCTCCAAGGGAGACAGACAGACGAGCAGTGTTGCTGCATGTTAGCCCCATTATGATGGCACCCTGGGCAGCCGTGCCATGACCCCTCAGCCGAGGCTGGCCACTGTCCATCTGGGAGTGTTCGTGAGGTCTCTTTTCAACATACTATACTAGGACCTGAACTTAAGGTTTTTCCTTGAGCACTTGGTGACCCACCGAGTTTCTAGTGTGTGAAGCCACTGTGTGATGTGACACCATCAGAAACTCCCTCAGGTCTCCGAGGGCTTTGGGCATGCTGTCAGAGTTGGGTAACTTCACATTCCCCCCTCCCTCCCTGCCTGAAATCAGTAAGAAAAATGTCCTCCGATGAGGACAAGTAATAAAATAAGGGAATCTTTCTGAAAGCGGAAGAGAAAACGCTCATTTCCCTGTTCCGTTCAACACAAAAATGACTAGAAACCATTAATAAAAAATATTTGCTTTATAAAGGACATTTGTAGGATGGCCCCTACAGAGGGAGGCAGGCTGGAGCACCTGTCAGGGTCACTCTTGAAATCTGTGGTCTCTCTGCTGATACTGGCCACTGGCGTCATCCAGCCATTTCCCAAGGGACTGAGACAGGGAAGGTGGCAAAGGTCTGCGCTCTGGCTCAGCTGTCACTGGTGCTTATTTCTGTTCCTGGTCCTTTTAAATCCTCGTGATGCACCTTGACCAAAACAGATGGTGGAAGGTATTCTGAAATGGAAAAAATTTTCATACTAAAGAATCATACCTCCTACCAACAAACAGCCCCAATTCCTAAGAGCAGTGTTGTGCGTGTTTTCTTGTTTCAGGATGTTCCCTCACTCGTGGAACATTCCTGATGGCGGCTCTTCCTTACTGCAGACTCTGCACTGGGGCCCTGGGCAGTTCCTTTCTGCAGTGCTTCTGACCTGCTTCCTGTGGGGACCAGCTCCCGCCAAGCTCCCCAGAGCTGACTTCCTATCACCCTCCCTCTGCTGAAACCCTAACTGCCCAATGGCATCTGGACTCACTCTCTGGCCAAAGTCCAAGCAGCTGCACGAAGGCAGCTGAGGAACACAAGTCCTTCTTCCTGTCAGTTTGGATTCATTGGCAATTTTTTTTTTTTTTGTCCAACATTTTTCCCAAATTTAGATTTGAACTCAAGTTAAACTCAATAAAAGTGCAGTTAATAACAGAAAGACAGATTTACAGTTGTAACTTAAGCAATTACAACTGAACTTCTCTCTATCCAGAAGAAAAGGGGGCAGTGCTCTGCATTCCTGGGCTGCAGGGCTTCCAAAGGCAGAGCGAGCAAGACACCAAGTCATTCCCGAGAGCCACAACAGCCAGTCTCCCACCTCCCACTGAAGCCCACAGTGGAGCCAGTGTCAAACCCAGAATTCTCCCTGTAAAGCACAGGATCAGAACCTCAGAGATGACAGCTACTGACCTGTGGCTGTAGGCGCGCCTCTCGCCCAAGGGCTCTGCGGGGGGCGCCACGTGTTCAGAGCAGACCTCCATGGTGTCTCCTTCCAACTGCTCCCCGTCATCTCCCAGGGCTTCTGCTGACACTTGCAGGGTGGACGTGGGAGTGGCTGGACTGTAGAAAGCAGAGGGGTGAGCAGGGCTCCACATGGTGGTGGGTGCAGCCCTGTCTCCCCCAGAAATGATCTCAACCGGAAGAGACTTTTTTCCTGCAAAGACACTTTACAACTATTTTGGCATCGTGCAATTTTTAGGCTACCAGAATAAGGAGAAGGGTTATGGAAAGGTCATACATGAATGTTAAGATAAATGCCACATTTTATAAATTTAGGTGTAACAATTACACTTTGCCTTTAAAAAAATGTATTTTTATGGTGCCATGTGCTAAATGACAATGAAGGGTGCCAAATGTCTCTTCACAACCATCAATGAGATATGTATTAAAATTAACTGTATAATATTGAGACTTTCTTCCCTAATACTAATGTCTTGACAAAGCATTGTGGGGGTTTTCTCCAACAATGACCCCTTGGGAAGGAGGGAGTTCCCTCATACTCAAGGCCTTATATAAATCTCCCACACTGCAGTGGACTCTCACAATTATTTTAAACAGCAAAGTCCTGTCCGGAGAAAACAAGTTTGTCTGCAAATGCAACTTTCAATGCAATTTTTATATGGTTATGAAGATTCACCTGAAAGAATCAGTTAAAAAAAAAAAAAAAAAGAGGCAAAGAAACATAGCACAAATTTGAGAATTATTCCCAGAGGTGTCTCCAAACAATGCACTCTAAACAGTCATGTGTAAGAAATGGTTGTTGTCAGATTCATCAACATACTGAGAAATGAAAAGCCAGAGGGCCCCACATGAGGGGAGGCTCATAGGCTGGGGCAAATATCCAGAGGCCCACATAGCAGGTGATGTGTGAGTGGAGCTGATGTGCCAGGCGCAGGTCTAGTACAACCTTGTGAGGTGTGAGTGCAAACATGGTGATGTCCTAAACACACCAGGGAAGATACTGCGATGGCACCCCAGTGATTCCCTGCAGAGTTGGGAAGCCAGGTTATCCCCTCCTGTGTTCCCTCCAAAAGGGTGGCTGCTTGCAGAGCAGGCCCCTAATTGTTTAACCCCTATGATAAATTGCTCTGACTTGTCAGGGTTTCCATTACCTGCAGCTAAACATGACAGTAAGTGCCATGGGTGCTGAACTATGGTATCTATATACTCAAAAGGCTTCTCTGAATTCCAGGGGTGGCCACACATACCCTCTGCTTTTCTTTGGTTTATCAAACCGGAAGTCCACAGGGTAGAGGTGACGCCTCACCAGGTGATCCTTCCTGTCTTTGCTGGTCTTGAACTTCTCTGTGCAGCCTTCCACCAAACACTGATACTGAAATGGAAATGGTGTCCCCTCCATCCACAGGGATGGGAGCCAGGGGAGGGAAGGTGCCTCTGGACTTGCCCCACCCAAGAGCTGGGAGTTCTGACCCTTAGGCAGACAGCTCCAGTCCAAGCCCCGAAGATGACTGTATCACCCACCATGTCCTGCCTCTCGGACAGAATCTGGAACAAGGAATCGTGCCATTCCAGGATGTGGATGTCCAGCAGGTGTCCCGAGGGGAAGGCTCGCTTACAAAAGGAGCACGTGTTTCTGTGCAGAGTGTGGTAGTGGTGCTCATAGTCCTCCAGGGTGTCGAATACCTGGCAGCAGCCCGCCACCTGACAGGTGAACTCGGGCACCCTGGCAAAGGAAACCACTGCTGACAAAGAACGTTAGGCTGTTGACAACTTCCCTTTAAGTGTCCTCATAAAGCTCTGGATGCTTCTTTTGCAATTCCGAATCTTATTCTTTTTAATTTTTTAATTTATTTATTGATTTTAGAGACAGGAAGGGGGTGAGAGAGTGGGAGAGAGAGAAACATGGATTTGCTGTTGCACTTATTTAGGCATTCATCGGTTAATTGTATGTGCCCTGACCAGGTTTTCTGCAACCTTGGTGCACAGGGATGACGCTCTAACTGAGCTTTCCCACCAGGGCTCAAATCTTACTTTGTTAATAATTAAATATTCACAGACCAGCCGTCTGGTGGCTAGGTCAACAAATCGGGGCTTGGCCGGTGGTCCAGGCAGAGGGCTCGTGAAAGGTCACCAGGGAGAGGTAGGCATGGGAAGGGGGCAAGGTGTGGGGTGAGGAGAGGCGGCACTGGGAGCAGAGCAGCTCACCTGGGCCTCTCAGGCGGCCCAGCCACCCCAGTGAGCACGTCCTGGAGATAGAGGTGACGCTGCACGTCCCCGTCCTGCAGAACACGCGTGCAGTGGGCACACAGCTGAAGGTCCGCCCACCCGGGCTACGGCCCGCCTCGCCAAAGCCCCGCCCCCCGG